GTTGTTTATCCTCTGCTAAAGCCAACTCCACTTATGATCACACAAGGGCAGCTTATCTTTTATGTGAATAGGCAGAAGAAGGAAGAATTCTGTGAAGTCTATAATTAGCAACAAATCTATTTTAATTTTAAAGTAGATATGTTAGTATGTCTCACAACCTTGACACATCTGTCTAAATCCAATATTGTTCAGGAGAGAGAATTATCACATTACAGTTTTGTTCCCAGATTTCCACGTATTTGAAATTGGTTCTGCTGGCTGCTGCCACCGCCGATGTTCCCAACTGTCGTGCAGCAGGACTGTTTCCAAGAAGCAGAAGTGAACAGTGGGTTTAGTTGCAGTACGTGGTTTCAGTAACTAATGCAGAGAGTTTGTGGCTCCCAGTCAGTGAGCGCAGAGGACTCTTCTGAAGTCCATGATAAAGAGATGCAGTCTGGTATAGAGTGTGATATCCTTGCAACCTCTTTGGATTGTTCCTGATATTGTTAATGGGGAGTCACAGTCTGCCCTCAGATACGCAAATCTGAAGCAGAATCTCACAATGCATTCAACAGGACGTATGTGCATACATTTAAAGAAAGAATTAGTCTTTGTATTTTCCTGGGCTACAGCTCTGTCTTTGACTCAATAGGATCGTGATCTGTCAGTGCTAGAGTTAAGAGAGTGTTATGTAGTTCTCATACTACCACTCTACTCAGAGGAGCTATCTGAAATTGTCACCTTCTTGCTCATCATTTCTGTTGTGTCTGTAATCCTGTAATTACAGGTCAGGGTTGCCTCCTTCCAGGGCAGAGATAAGTTTCTGTTGCTGCTTATTCCCCGTAGCTTTGCAGAGCCACTGCAGCTCCGAGAGGGAATTGGATTCTATCCATCTCCATGTATCACTAGCATTGCTCTCCTGTCTTTCAGTGCTGTTTTTTTCTTCACTGGTGATGTCAGAGCTGTTCAAGTTGCTGTTTTGAATTTCAGATCCCACTTGAACTTGTCAGAAGAGAAAATTCTATGGGATTTTGAAAAATTGTCCCCTACATAGCACTGAAAAATAAGAACTATTAGCACTATTGGGATAGGGTTTGTTACAGGTACTATCTTCTGCATCATTTTAAGTTTGGAAGGGTTATAAAAAAAGTTCTTTATGGCCTTCAACTTTGGCCTGTGAAAGGAACAGAGGAGCAGTGCCAATTTCCAGCTCTTATTTGAATCGTGGAACCTCCCCCAAAATTTGGAGGCAAGGGCAGATTATCAGATTTCTCAGAAATAAGTTTATCTGAATTGCTTTGAATTATTGACAGCAAATTAACTTTCCCCGCAAGTTAGTTGTGGTCCAGGTTTCTTTGCACTGTAGCTATGCTTGTTGTGACACATGAAGTCATGAAGTTTTCTTTACGTCTACTTCATAATGCTTTATTTAGTCACTTTAGTGCTTCAGGGTTTGCTTTTTTTTTTTCCTTTTTTTTTTGGTGCACCATAATCAGTCTACATTCAAAGTATAGATCATAAAGAAGACTGGTCTGCATTGTTAAGAATCATAAAATAAAATATCGCAAGGTTTCTCTTTCTTTAACAACAGATGAGTAGATAAAATAGATTAGTGTATGAGACAGTTCTGTAATGTGTTTCATTTCATACGGTGTTTCTCTGAGAGCACTGTTATTCTGTTATCATCCCTAATGACTGTAATGTGTTGAGTCACAGTGTTGTTTTTTAAAAGCTTTCACTTTTTCATTGTTTGTTCTCAAGGTTACATTATGCAAAATACAGTGTTATATTTTGTGCACTAGTCCAGGCTGTATAAAAATATTTTCAACCCTTTCATGAAAATTGAAATAGCTCTGCTCTGGGGAAGAGGCTTTATGCCTGTTTCAAGTATTCCTAACTGCAGTAATGAACTGCCATTTCTTCCTCTGTCTGAAAAAGTATAGGTCATGTGTCTTGACTTAAAGAAGTATTCGAAGGTGGTCGTTCTGGCATGCGCTTGCATTGGTAATTTGGTTTAGCTATTCACCGTGAATTGAAAACCATTAAGAATTATCAAAAGGTAGTTTTGTTGTTTACATAATTTTGATGATGAAAGAGAACTTTTCTCACATTTTTGGTAAAGTAGAAAAAGTCAGGATAAAAATACGAGGGAGGTGCGAAGAGAGGAAAGGACAGACTTCTTATTTTATTTCAATGGATTTGCATTATGGATAAAAATGGACAAGCAAGTTGAATTAAACACATTATTCAAAACTGCTGTTTTGGCTTGATTAAAACTCTGCTCTACCAATCATTTTCATTACTGTGCCACTTTTTTCCCTTTACTTTCTGACAAGGTAGGGCACTGTGTCTTTTCATGGTTTGAGAAATGTTTCCTACAGAGCTTTTATCCTAGCTAGCTGCAGCCTTCGACCCTTTTTGTGGTATTTATTGCACCCCAAAATCCTACTGAAGATATGTCAGAATTGTGAGTGCTAAGCTTCACCAGCAGTATGAACAGCCTCTTTCCTGAGGATAGCACAGATATGGTTTTGTCTCTGTGGAAGTCGCTGGTCTGGTCAACACTGGTAGGAAGAATGCATTTAGTGCAGAGAAAGTTATTAGAAAACTTATTAGTCAACCAGATTAGTATTTACCATGATTCTTTTGTGCGCTTCAACTTTTGCTATAAATCTATGCTCCTGCCTTTTCCTCTGTCAACTACTGAAATTCTACTAAAAACTACTGAAAAGAAAGAGTTCTGAAACTCATGACTACAATATACACATAGATAGGGAAATACTGAGCGTGTTAAACAAAACAAAACAAGAAACCTCCCCACCAAAAAAAAACAACTAAACAAAAAACAAGAGCTGTAATTTTTTTTCTGGTCTCTCGCCAGCTTTGCTGAAGTTTTTCCCAAAATAATCAATCTTATATAGATACTGGAACAAGGCAATTTCTTCGATTTTCCTCCAAATTTTAAAATAAGGAACCAAGTATGAGCTGCCTCGAGGTTTTTTTTAACAATATATGCTGCTGCTTGCTCCATTTGCATTTGCTATCAACAAACATATATTCCTTAGCAGTCTGGCTTTGTTAAAAGCTGGAAGACTTCCATTGAGCGGAGCCGAAGGATTCTTTTCCCTTGCTTTTGTCCATTCCAGGAAGCTTTGCTTTGAAGCGTCTGTAGTGACCCACACTGATTGAAAACAATATATTTTGAAAAACGATTCTATAAGTATCCATGTAGCGATTGAAGAAAGAACTTAGTGCCAAAAGGCGTTTCTTTTCTCTGAGAGTCCAATACATATGAATGGTCAAAATGTAAAATTAAGACATCTTGTCTAGTTTGAAAAGAAAGAGGCAGGACTTACTAAGCGTTTATAGGAATAACTTGCCCCTACTTTTGTTCTCTTTTCTTTGAAGAGATTTACAGGGATTTTTCTTTCTGTAAATGACAGTAAAGCATTGTTAGATAGGACAGTAAGGATACTAATGAAAAGATTATATATCTTCAATGCTTCTTAAAAACTTTGTGGAAAGGATTGCTGGAGTCAATTTTGAGTGAATTTTGACCTGTCTCGGGCAATTGTAGTTTTCTGCTGCTAATGAACTCTTATTAGGGATTTAAGGAGAAAGAATGAGGTCCTTCAAATAAGAGAGTTCTCTGTCTTGTCAGATCAAAGAATGTAAAAGTTTTTTAAACAGTGATTTAACAGTCTAAATATCTACTATGAAAGACCAATAACCCTCATACAGGGGGACAGGATGTTGAGAAGAAAACTGTTGGTCACCCAGTCTCTCAAGAATACCCTGGAATGTAGCTGCTGCTCCTGTCAGGTGACACGATGTCTGCGTTTGCTGTAGGCACTCCATCTATCCACTTGGGTCCCATTTTGGAGGCACAGCCACATCATCTTGGATTTTATGATTTGAGCTAAATCATTTGGTCAACCTTCAGCTTGAAGAAAGCTTGTACAGTTTGCTGCTGTGCCACGCTCTCATTTATCTTCTGGTGTGGAAGCAGATTCCCCAGATGCAGTTTCCCAGTCATCTGTACTTAACACACAGGAAAAAATCCTTGTTTCTCTAAAGGGGTCTGTATAAATCACCAGACTTTAGCAGCTGGAGGAGAAGGACTCTGATCATGTAGAGGGGGAGAGAAGAAAGGCTAGAAACCTCTCAGCTTTTGTACTAAATCCACCCCTGGCTCTAGGTGGAGTATGTGCAGGGCATTCTATTTTGGCTGTTGGCAGATTCCAAATTGTATTTCTTTTTTTAATTACTACAGAGTTATATAGCATGGTCGGGGGGGGGGGCATTTTTCTTTTTGTCTACACGTTAAGAAGACTTGATGTTCATGTTCAACTCAGGGTCATATTCCTCCATGAGGTTTATCAGCAGAAGATTTATTGATGGTAAAGATATTTCTCTCAACATCTAAAAGGCATGCTTGACACATGTTAATGTTAGTACGTTTGGTGTAATCTGGAGGCACAAATATGATCTAAATGTTTTGTGAAAAGGGCCCTGAAAATGTTTTCTTTCTAATGTGAAGATAAAATAATACTCATTTACAAAGCCGTATTGAACAGAAGCAAGAAGAATTAAGTTTCATGAAGGGATTAGGGTATTAACCCAGGATATGAAGTATGTGTCTTTCTCGGTTCCTCTTTAGATTTCCTCTGCCACCTTTCTCTGAGCCTTGCTTTTTTGGCATGAAGTCCTCCACTATAAAATGAAAGAAATACTGCTATCCTAATTCATGCTTCATTTTGTCAGGGTAAATTGGTTGATGATTGTTAAAGCTTACAGCACTGTGATAATGGTGTGTGAAGGGGAAGCGGTCTGCTTGTCTGCCAGACTGGCATAACCTTCTTAGAACAGCATTAGTTACAAGTAAGCAGCAGACATGGTATTTCAGTAAAAATAGGCAGAAGCGTTGCTTATGTAGAAATGTATTTTCTTCTTTCGGCTATGTGCAATCAAGGAAAGATTGGAACAAGACACACTAACAAGCTCTTCTATTTCCTTCCTAGAATTACAACAACAGCTGCTTGTATGATGGACCTACGGAGATATCCGCTGGATGAGCAGAACTGCACACTGGAGATTGAGAGCTGTAAGTACTTCTGCAAATCCTACTTATTCTGTGGTCAACTGCTTCAGAGTTTTTATTTCTGTCTTTCTTTTTTAACATGCTACTAACCTAGTTCTCCTTCTGTCTGATGACACTCAGATCCTTGTAAACACATGAAAAAAAAAAAAAAAAAAAGCTGTTTTCCAGATGGATTAGTAATTTGTGGCATGGGGATTAGCAAAAGTTATTCTGTGTTTTGATGGACAATTTACATCTTTAAAAGTCTCATTCAAATGCCTTGTTGAGAGTTCATGTGAGGAGTATGAGGATTATTATCAGTTCTTTATCCTTCTTTACTGCTGAGCTGTGTGGCAGCTTGTTTCCATTTATAAATGATGGCAAGAGGTTAGAACTGTCCTTGAAATAGGTGTTTTGTGGGCTTTTTTTCTAACCTCTGTACTGTAGTTAGATTTTCAACGCATGCAATGCAGTCTGTTGTATATACTGATTTAATAGCTGGTGTCTCTATCAAACTTTCTATGTAGATAGAATCTATGATTCTATAAAACATCTTGTGAAATAAAATTTCAAATTTCTTTTCACTGAAAAGTCTTTAGGGAATCTAAGTACATTGGAGAAAAAACAATTTGTGATCACTTTTATAAAGATAATATCGTAAGCATGCATTATTTGGCACTCTAAGATCATATCAGTACTTTAAAGATACATTTTCTGTTTCAGGAGAACCATAGCTAATTCATCTGGGGTGTGTTATTAAGTTGAATGTGGCAAGCAAGATGGAAATTAATGGAGTGTTTTAAGATACAATATACAAAAGTATGTGTATTTTTAAACTAACTTCTCTATTATAAAATATTATGTGGGATTTCAGCGTGTACTGAAGTACAAAATGATAGTAGCTTGTGCTACAGTCTGGTGAGAACTTGGTACAGCTGAGCTTCTTTCTCATATTCTAGAAAGCGTTTAAGAATATGCTTTAAATTTGTATCCAGGTTTCATTCATTTTAGTGTAATTTAAAGATATGCCAAAATCCTTTCCCAAGTTAAACTTGTGACACTGCTGTCTGAAATAATTTACATGCATGAAGTAAGCAAAATGGGTCTTCATCATTAAAGTTCACCCCTTCTCTGTGCTGAAATACACAAGCAGCAAACGTGATGATGGACTTTGCTCTTTTGAGAATGGATAAAATCTTAGGGTTTTTTGGGGTGGTTTTTTTTTTTTCAGTTCATTATGGAATTCCTATTGGTAGTATTTGATTCAAAATTTCATACCTGCAGTCTTTTACCGGTATAGTAGGCTGTCTTAATGTGTGAGAAAACTACTGGCATAACTGTTTTCAGGTTTACAGAGATTTTTACCGAGAATGTGGCTTGCTATGCTGGTGTCTTTTAATTGTTGTTGTAGCAAGGACCTGGAATCTTTCTTTATTCTAGTTGCGTGTGTAAGTTGGAAAGCTGGAGAGTCATCAGAGGACATCCTTTCTCTCTATTTACAGCATTGAGCAGTCAAAAAAGTCTTGCCATCTCTGCATTGCTGAGATGCCTGAATCTTCTTGGGATTCACAAATTAGATACTCCCTGCCTGTCATGCTTGCAGGACCGACTCTGGGAAATATTCCCACGAAATACCTCCCAGGTCAGTCCTTACGCAAAACTAAAATTAAATTATGTCCCTGCTTTTCACTGAGAACACTTGTTCTCGTTCAGACTTGGAATGTGGCACCTCGGGTTTGAAATTTCCCTTTCATCTGCTTTGGAGTAGAAATTTGAAGCCAGATCAGTTATCTTCCACGAAACAATCGTGGAGCACAGGGCACTGAGCTCTCGAAATTCTTGTTCTGCTTGGTATGAAGAGCACAGTATGCATTGTATCATAGAAAGGCTATTTAACATAGCGGTTAGGATGCTTGTGGGAGAACTCCTTTGTGGTTCTATTAGCTCTGTTGCAGCATCAGAAAAGTAAAATGGCTTTAAATCAGGATACTGTATGTAGCTAGCCTGTCTTTCATTGCAATAACAAAGGTCATTGAAGAATGTGGGTAGAAGACATGAACTGTGTTTTGAAACACTTTCATGCTGCTTTAGAAGATCATTGCTTTTCATATATGCCGTTCTCTTCAGGTAAAAACCTGAATCTGTCTAATCTTTATGAATCACTTCAGACAAGAGTGCTGGTAGGTAGATAAGTAGAGTGAATAATATTGAAAGTGACTTTCTGAGCCGTTCAATTCAGGTACTCAAGTCATAATCACTTCTTTAAACTGTTTAAGATGCATGCTAAAAGTAGCTTGGTTTCCTGCCTTTCTGATCCTGTTGGATGTCTGTTTCACCACTGCTCTCTTGTGATGCTTAGAAATTCTCAAAATTCTACCCCAAGTTTTTTCATGGCTGTGAAGGCATGGAATTATACTCACTGCTTGTGTCGACAATTTTTTTTTCTAGTTCGATGTCTTCCCCAGCCCTGCTGGGACCTTCATAATACATTTAAAGAATGCAGTCATAGTTTCTCATAGGCTTCATTTCATGAAACTGAATATGCCAATCTCTCTTAGCTTTCTCATACAAGAGTATGGTAAGAGAAATGTAGAACTAGCACCTTCATTAGGAATAATTAGTGCCATAAACAGTATCCAAGAGAAAAACTCTGTTACGCCATGGCATTAATCCTGCCCTTTTTCCAGGAGCCACTTTTGCCTTTCTTCACCACTGCATAACTTTCACAGATTATAGTCTTCCTGGAACACTGTAGTAAGGTCTTTGCCTTCCTCACTCATTTTCCAGCAGTATGTTCTAGCTTTTGGTAGAGTTTTTATTTTTTTTTTCTAATTGCATAGTACTAAGAACACATGACTTCGCATTTCATAACACTGTTCACATAAATCAATGTTCTTAATATTGCTACAGTCCTCAAGGTTATCCAGTTCTTGCTATATTTGTTCTGATCATCCTTTGTCTTAACAGTGCCTGCGGATTTTGTTTCATTATAAATTTCATTAACACACAAATGCTAAAGAATATTAATGGCAAGAAGGAAGAGCTTTGCTTATAATCATTCTCTGTACCACTTAGCATGATCTGTTCTTTCAGTGCAGTACAATTTCCTACACATCTTTTATATATCTTTACTAATTGTCTGTCCTTAGATAGTCCTGTATCAAATGTTTTAATAAAGTTCAGGTTAGATATACTTTCTTTAAAAAAGGAGTTATTGTCTAGGCAGATCCTTTGAGTGAAGTCATGGTGGATTTTTATCCCATTTCAATACACGTTAAAGTCTCTAATGTCCTTTCATTCTTTCCCCACTTATTCCTTCTCCCCCCACCATCCTCCCTCCTGTTATTCATGCCAGAGTTCATTGGCTTCTTAGCTGCTTGGGTTACTTTTTTCCATGTTGTCATTGTGCTTACTGACGTTTGTGGCCAATATCAAATTTTTGTTAATCTAGATTTGCGTAAATAAATTTGCAAATTAGAATTACGCTGGAAAAGGGTTGTATGTAAAATATAAAAAAATGAAGTGGGGGAGGTGGTATCATCTGTTAAGATACAGGAGACAGCATTTTTCCTTTTTCAGTTTAAGGTAGTATTAGTGAGATTGGATGCTGAAACTGTAAGAGAGGACAATTTCCCATTAGTTCAAAGAGTATCAGTTTTGAGAACTGAAATCCTAGGTTTTTTTAAAGTATAGCTAGTTACATCTCTGGTCATTTTTTGCTTTGCTCATCCTTAAAGGGCAGAAACATGGTGAATGTTTGGGTTTGCTATGATGCTTCTAAACTTGCAGGCCTCCCTTTCCAAGGGGGTCTAATCTGAGCTATTCTACTTGTCCCTTTCTGTTGTTTGCCAGCGCACTGAATGGCAGGGTTACAATACCAGAGCGAAATCAATTTCCCTTTGTTTCTTAGTTTCCCAACTTGCAGGCAACAGAGAGCTTTTTCAGTTTTAGTTGAATATTGACTTGACTCAGTAAAATACCTCTCCTTTCTGCTCCCTACCTCTGCCACTGCAGTATGCATTGCTGAGTTTCTGATAATTTTGTTTCTCTGCTGTTTCCTGCCACTCTGTTGAAAGGAATGTCTTAGCTAATCAACCATAAAACTAGTGGGAGCTCAAAGGCAAAAAGAAGTACAAGGGAATTTGAAGAATACTTCATATTCATATAAGCAAATAAAGTATCATATTGCACATTCTCTAGCATAACAGAGAGAAATGGTTGTGATTCTTTTGAATATTTTAAAATGTAATCATTCAAGACTCATCTGGTACATTTGTACCTTTGTCCATTTCAATTATGTGGTGCCACATAAAGACAAAAATTCAATTCCTTCTTATCTCATTTCATAATGTGTTTGGCACAGCTATATTTATGTTATACTGAGGTATAATTCAGAAACTGCCTGCCTTGTGACAGCGACTTTTTTTTTTCCATTTCTTTGTTGCTGTGGAACAAAGAAGAACACACTGAGTTTCTCCTTAAAAATATTCTCAGAAACATTTTCAATAGCATATTAAAGATGCGGCATTAAAAAAAGTGCATCAAAGCGCTGTTCTCTGAAGCCTTAGCAAACAGGGACCTTGCCACTCGGAAGTACTGACCAGCGAAAAAGGGCAGAGTCAGAACAGCGCGCACAGATGGTGAGAAAGGACTGCTTTGCTGACGAATGAGAAATAATTGTTTCCAGGATATTTCATTTATGTAACAGCCTGGGGTGTTTGGATGAGGAATCATTAGAATTTTTTCTCCTTTCCACGACAAAAAGGCCACAGAAGCGTACTAAAATAAGTTAAAAACTTCCATTCGATAACAGAATCTAGGAAAAGCCTGAAAGAACAGAGGCAAAAGAGTATCATTCCTCCCAGTGGCAGTGCAGCCCAGTATCAAACGCTTTCTAATCAGATCATCTGAAAGCTCATCAACAAGAGAAACAGAAGTCATCTTTGAGTGCTCAAGGTGACTTTACAAGCACATTTAAAGCACTGAAAAGGAATCAAAGATGCCTTTTGCCGAAGCCTTGAGTA